GTTATGTGTTTGGGACATTAATTAAAGAGATGTTAAATGCTTTACATGGAGCTGTTGCTTTCCCTATCACTGTCTCTCATGAATGGTTCATTAAATTATTTTATTTTATGTTATGGGGTAACTTTATTTTGTAGCCATTCAATACTCACAGGTACAAAAGGCTAATCAAACGTGTTTGAAGAAGTTCTCATGCTCTGACCAACTTGGTCCACGCTTTCAATTGGTCTGCAGCTTTCTTCTTCAACTTGTCTCTTGTTACTTAACAAACCTCTAACCTTATTAATCTCACAACCTACATTAAACACCCATTTTTAACTCATCCCTAACCCGTTCTTCATTACTCAAAATGAACCCTGATAAGAAATCAACCCAATAGAAAGTTTTGATATCAAATGATAAGGAATCACTGTAAATGAGGTAAGATTCGAATTACCTTGTTGATCAACATCTCAAGATGATAATACTTTTTTGAGATTTGAATTACTCTACGAGTAAGATTGATCATGTCAAGCTTGAATGATTCTAAACTATATAGGACTGTAAAGAAACTTAGTCATTGGCTGAAGTAAAGCACAAATTCTCATGTTATATATTTTCCAAGTCTACCTTACAAAGATAACATACATGACTTTATATAGTCTCAAAATGAAAACTCTTAACTTTCGATAACGCATTACAAGAGTTATAACTTTTATATTTTATGACCATAATTAGTTACTATTTGAAGTAACTTGAAACCTTTGTGGTATAAATGAAATCGAAATTGATGGCACCCTGAATTCAATTTTAATAGATGTTGACTTTATTTTATGGTAATTTGAACAACATTGTTCGCAGCTATGTTCAAGTTCATATTGTATGATCGAGATGTGTTGGTTCATATGAAACTGTCTACCAACACCCTAGCCATGAAAGTGGAAACACAAGCTACAAGAACTCGACTATCTGGGAAGTCGGTAAGGTGGTCGGGTTAGAGCCGGGTTGGGGACGGATGGAAAGTAAGAAGAAGAACAATAATTGAAGGAAAAGAAAAGGGAAGATGGAGATGGGGATGTAAGAGAGCAGGAGAATCTGAGAGCGTGTGGGTGAGTCAGAGAAAAAGATAAGAGAAAAGTCAGAGAGAGACCTGAAAATTTTGCTTTTGGAAGACCAGAACGTTCCATCCATGCATTTGCTACCACTTCTCTATTTATAATAATACCAACAAAAACCATGCACGAGTGTCCCATAAACTCCGCTGTTCAGGTGCTGCCCCTTCTGCCCTTTTCCTTTTCCTTATTTACCCTTCCACTCCCTCAACTTTCCTTTATTTGCATTTCCCACCCTCACCTATTTTTTATTATTCCAAAATTGACCCCCTTCTTTTTCGCCTTTTTCTAGATTTGGATTTCCCAGATTTCATTCAAAAATCAAACGCTCAAAACACCGTCCTTCTATACCCACTACCATGGACTTCCATGCACTCAATAATTCATCCCTTGATTTGAACATATCAGCTCTATCATATGAACAACCATTGATTTGAAGAATGATAGCAAATCAATTTATAGATATCCATCGATGACGGGGTTGAATAAATCCGTGAACTTTTAGATGTTAATGCATGATAACGAGAAAACGATAATGATTTGGCAACCCTACCAACCAAGTTGTGTAAAAAGTAATAATAATAATAATAATAATAATAATAATAATAATAATAATAATAATAGTAATAATGAACTACAACAAAGTTGATGACTTTAATTTCCCAAGTACTAATTAAAGGGATTATATATATTTTTTTAATGACAAAAGAATATTGGGTTTAAATCATCAATCCCATCAGCTTCTAAACTTCCCTTAATTTTATTTTTTTAATTTATTCCTTCTAATCTCTTTTTTTGTGTTCAATTTTGAAATATTTAGTGTATAAAAAGTTTTAATTCTTCTTTTACTAAAGTCATTTTATCTTATTTTAAATTATATATTTTTGAGTCCATATTCAAAATCTAAATTCTCGACACGAATTCGACAATAAAGTCTTGAAATTTCTTAGATAATTAATTTTAATTGATGGGAGGGGGAGAAATAAATGGTTATGAGAAGAAAAAATTAAATAAAAAATAAAAGATGGAAGAAAACCCCAATCCTGAGTTGGGCCTTGGCCCAAATCCTACGAAATGGGCCGAATGGCAGGCCCTGAAAATATAGTGTTTAGAGTAGCCTTTGATAGTGTTAAAAACATTAAAAAAAACATGACGTAAATACACAAGTATTAATTATAGTTTTGTCGGATAATTAGTCACTCTTTTATCTTTTATTTATATATATATTTTTAAATCATTTGGATTTTAATTAGAGATATCTATGGGTGGAGCGGGAATAGAGAACCTTTTCTGTCTTCGTCCCTGTCTCCTACTTCAGTTCTCATCTTTTATATATATTTTAACATTTTCGGTTTAACAAGGTCAAGGTGGGGCGGGGTTTTAGTAGGGTCATCAACGTTTAGTTAACTGTAAAAAGAAAAAAATGGATGTCACTTATTTGAATGTTGAGAAAACTATCTTAGTAATATGGAATAGCTACATCCTCGATATAAAAATACTCGTCACATAAAATATCATCGTGGACGTTCATTTCAAATGTTTCAAAAAATTATTTCTCTCAATCGATTAATGCACGAGAAACCCACGTAAAAATACAGTGTATTTAGAAGTTATATATATGTTCTAAATATACCATTAAAAATATTGTTGTTACTAAGAAAATTTCACACGAACAATATTATTTCGAACCGATATAAGATTATTTCATTAAAATTTTAAATAATAAATAAAGAAAAAAGTTATTAAAAAAAATGAATGAATAATGTGCAATATCAAAAGGAAATTTCGGTCTCCTTTCTTGGAAAATGGTAAAAGCTCGTCTTTCATGTCTCAAACTGACTAAGACTTGAAAAGGAAATGTTTTTATTTTTATTTTCAAGTTCATGAATGAACGTTGTATCAATATGAAACTGCTCCAAACAAACGCGTCCCACGAACAAGTTTTCAATAATTTCCACACGCGCCTGTCTCTTCACCTTTTATTAAGACTCATCTAAAATCAATAATACACTAAATTTTTCGGCTTGACTTGAATCAGATATGCAATCTTTACTCGAGACTAGAGGCCGAGAGATAATGAGGTTGACAAATCAATTAAATCAATCCCGTACTCCATCTACGACTCTAGATTTTTAGTTCACATATTTCAACCATTTGAGCTCCGTTCTCTTCTAATTTCACCCCATCTTGAAGTTGGTAGGATTTTTTTTTTCTTTAAATAATAGTTCAATTAATCTTTTACTATACAAGAAAGGATAATTGAATGATATAAAAATTTTAAAATAATAATAATAAAGAAATACTATATCAATACTATAATAAAATAAAGTAAAAAGCAGTATTTAAAAAATTAATATTTAAAAATAATTTTTATAAATTGTAGAAATTAAAATATTCTAAAAAGTAGAATGATGGTGAAGTTAGAAAAACCATTACTTTAATTAGGTGATTAGTCTCTACTGTCGATTAACTTCACATGCAAGTTAATTAGAGGCTTACACTAAATGATAATAATAATTGTTGAGGTAAGCCAACTTCGCTTTTCGATTTCTCGACTAGTTGCTCGCTCTTAGCTCCCATCACCGTTTTCTAATCCCATCCTTTTGGCGTTGCACTCTGTGTCACAAGTGCACTCTTGTCGCAACGGGACAACAATTTTATGACACTTGTTCTAACCTAACGAACAAGTCACCTGTGTGAGATTCAGACTTCGTTGAAAATAATTTGAAAGAAAATGTGAGCGAATCTTGGAATGTTATAGGCAAAAGCGGATAAGCAACAACCCTCACTTTGATAGCAAATTGATGACTAGTTACATCCTCGTATAGTAAATTTTGGAGTATTTTAGCTCTCGGTAGACATGATTTTGGTGACCTATCATACACCTTGTCATAACAAGAATAATAAAAGTCTTTCCAAGTAAAAGGAGTTCGGAATTGGCATACGTTCATGGACAACACGACTTAGACAAACATAATTGTAACACTCTGCGCGACAACCACGAATACTAGTAGCATGTTGATTTCCGAATCTTACCCAACACTCTTTCAATTTTTTGCCTCGCAACATATTGTAACAACCCAGATCCACCGTTAGCAAATGTTGTACACTCTTTGGGCTTTCCCTTTTGAACTCCCACGCAACATGTTGTAACAACCCAGATCTATCGTTATCAGATATTGTCCTCTTTGGGCTTTTCCTTTTGAGCTCCCCTTAGGCTTTAAAACGCGTTTGGTAGGGGAAGGTTTCCACACTCTTATAAATAGTGGTTTGTTCTCCTACCCAACCAATGTGGGACATCACAATCCACCCCCCCTTTGGGGCCCAACGTCCTCACTAGCACTCTTTCCTTCCTCTAATCGATGTGGGACCACCCCCAAATCCACCCCCCTTTGGGGCCAATGTTCTTACTGGCACACCGCCTCGTGTCTACCCCCTTGGGAGAACAACGAGAAGGCTGGCACATCATCTGGTGTCTGACTCAGATACTATTTGTAACGACCCAAATCTACCGCTAGCATATATTGTCCTCTTTAGGCTTTCCCTTTCAGGCTCCTTTCTACACTTTTATAAATTGTGGTTTGTTTTCCTCCCCAACCAATGTGGGACATCACAATATCTGCTAGCGTTGGGCCTAGGTCGTTATACATGTAGTCCTTTGATGTACTTTTGTTTGTATAACCGTGGCATCCGCTACTATAATTCTTCATTAATTTAGGTCCCTCGTATATGCATGCATGTTTTGTTTGTGCATGCATATCTCCCCGTTATTTTTAATACTCAACCTTTTCAAAAACAAAAAGGAAAAAAAAAACTTAGAAATTGTCCATATAATTGAGTAATATTAACATATAAATCCTCGACTGTTCCAAAAATTGAAAATCCTTGTCTCTCTATTTCGTCCCTAAATCTCCAAGCTGTCTCCTCCAATGGCTGCCACCCCAACCCTCATCAGAACTTAGTTCATCTCCAACTGGTCTGCACTCATCTCCTCCGCCATTTCCCCCTCCCTTTTTCTTCCTCCATAAATGCCTTCTCTCCATCTCTTCAACCCCACCGCCCCTCCCCTCCTCCTCCTCCTCCTCCTCCTCACTTTTCCCTTCGATTCACCTCCTCCATGGCTACTTCCGGCCGCCACCCCATTTACCGAGGCGTACGACGCCGCAACACAGGCAAATGGGTGTCGGAAATTCGGGAGCCCCGGAAGCCAAATCGGATTTGGTTGGGAACCTTCCCGACAGCTGAAATGGCGGCTGTGGCTTATGACGTTGCTGCCCTTGCTCTCAAGGGCCACGACACTCACCTCAATTTCCCCAATTCTGCGTCCTCTCTCCCTGTTCCTGCTTCACGTTCACCCTCTGATATTCAGGCTGCAGCCGCCTCTGCCGCCGCTGCGCTTGGTGCCGCAGCAGCCGCCATCGAGGCAAGGAGTGGTTTTCACGGTGGCCGTAGTAATGATCCAGGGGAAGTGGGAAATCATTTCATGGACGAGGACTTGATTTTTGATATGCCTAATGTTCTAATGAATATGGCGGAAGGAATGCTTCTTAGCCCTCCCCGTTTCAATAATCATGGTGGCGATGACGACGGAGCCGATCATGGTACCGGAAACCTTTGGAATTTTTCCTAAGCAACAAATATACATACATATATATACATATAGGGTTTCGTTTCTTCGTCTTTTAATTCTAAAAGGGAGGAGAATAAAACATCTTTACAAGAGTGTGGAAACTTCTCCCTAATAAATACATTTTCGAAAAATAAAATTAAAAAATGACAATATCTGTTAGTGGTGGATTTAACTGATGACAGTGAAAAGGATAGCCGTCTTCTTCGGCGACCAAAGAAGCAAAAGCAAAGCAAGTTGGAAGGTTAAGTTAGTTGAAGATAATGAGAAGTTTGATTCAAAGTGGACTTTCTAAGCATGTGTGTGGTTCTCATTTTATCAAATAATTTATGGACATTAAGATTTTAAATTGGATATTATAATTAAGACATTCTACTCACTTCTTTCATGTCCTGTCTTTTCAATAATTATAAAATTAAATATATATATATATATATTATGTGTAGTAAGTGTATAAACAATAGTTTAAATAACTTCATCATTTGGGTTACTTTCAATTTAATTGAATGCTAAATCAAATTAATAATTTAAACGGTTTAATATTTATTCGAAATTTTTTCTATCACAACTCAACCCAATTTAATATAATCTTCTTTTTTTTTATTTATTAGGTTGTTTAGATGATTGAGATTGTTTGTTTAAATTTTTATTTTTAATAAAAGTAAAGTGTTAAGTAAAGAATTATAATTCAATTTGAATATATATTTTTAAAAATTATCTTTAAATATTTTAACCCTCTAATTTATAAGAGTTGTTCTAGTTTAAAAAATTTACGGCTCGAACATTTTCACTAAATCTAAAAACTATCTCAATCTGACTCGTTTCAATCCACGAACACTTTTAATTCAAACTTCAATTCCACGTGCTATTACAAAAAACTAGGAATAATTTAATGAAAAAGGGTATTCCTAAAAAGGCTAATTTTTAAATATGAACAAATTCAACTATATTGGGCACTTTTATTCATTCCAGATTTAGAAATATATTTTTTTGAAGAACAAATTATAATATTTTAAATAAACATAATATTAAAAAAAATATATATTCCGTATATATATATATATATTCCCTATCTTTATAGGCTCAATTTTGGGGGCAAATAATTTACTTTGTTGACACGTCACAGTCGTACTCTCCCGAGCTAAGAAGCTGAGAGTGAATAATGGAATGTCTGCCGAAGAAACGTAACACCAACCCCTCACCTTCCCTTGTCTTATAATTCTTCAAATTTACGCTCAAAACCATAATAAAAAGATTGTAATATATATATATAATTTAAATTTTAAAAACATATTAAACATATTTTAGGTTTCGGCACCTAAAAACCGATTAGATACAACTTTTAACGTATAGTTACTTAACATTCAATAATTGATCTTTTCTTGAAAGAGAAAGAACAAAGCATGCTAGAATGACTCATGTTGATCCATAAGAACAGTCTTCATTCTTAAGAAGCGAGAAGTAGTTGTGACCATATCGTAGGAAAATGTCGAGAGTCATCAAGTACTAATCTTGATTCAAATTCTAGGCATGGGTCGTTACAAATAACGTCAGAGTTTGGAACATGTCATATTACGATAATATGGACCATATTGCAGGAGAATGTCAAGGGTCATCAGGTACTTTATTTAGATTTCAAATCTCGATGCGAATTCTGGGCATGGGTCGTTACAAATACATGGTCTATAGTTAGACTCGTATTAAGAGGATATTTTGCCGTGATAATTAGTTAGAATATATCTTAGATATTTAGGAAGCTGTTAGTATAGATTTGATTAACCGTATATTTTATTTATTTACCAGATTTAATTAGATATATATTTTTCTATTTTTAGGTATTAGTTGATAGTTTGTATCCTATTTAAACGTGTAAACCTGAATGAAGATCATACTTTCGATCCCAATTCTATTTCTATTTCTCATTCTTAACATGGTATCAGAGCACCGATCTTGGTGTTCTTAAATATCAAAATTTCCTTTATGGCGGAATCAGCCAAATCTAGCTTCAAAATTTCGGATGTTGATTTAACACATCCGTACTATATTCATCACTCTGATCAGCCAGGATATTCACTTGTTCCAATCAAATTAAATGGAGCAAATTATCAATCCTGGAGGAAATCAGTTATGCATGCTCTTATTGCCAAGAAGAAAATTGGCTTCATTGATGGCACAATTGAGGAACCGTCCCAAGATGCAAATTCAACCGAATTCGAACTCTGGAATCAGTGCAACAGTATGATAATATCTTGGTTAACTCATTCCGTTGAAGCAGATATCGCTAAAGGCATTATTCACGCCAAGACAGCTCATCAAGTGTGGGTTGATCTTCACGATCAATTCTCACAAAAGAATGCTCTAGCAATTTTTCAAATACAAAACTCGATAGCAACGATGTCACAAGGAACCATGGCACTGTCAACATATTTCACCAAGCTCAAAGCACTCTGGGATGAACTGGAAGCGTACCGCACACCATTTACCTGTAATCAACGTCAAATACATATTGATCAACGCGAAGAAG